AGGCACCAAATCAATCAGTGATGCCTTTGGTGCCACCAGCTCCTCAGTCCTTTCAGCGCTGCCTTTGGTGCCACGAGGCACCAAATCCATCAGTGATGCCTTTGGTGCCACCAGGTCCCCAGCTCCCTTATCCCCTCCGGCTGCTCCCCGCGGTGATTTCGGGTGCTCCAGCCCCACTGTGCTTCCGAAGGGCTGCACTTCCCACCYGCCCCTGCCCCTCACCTGCCCGCTCTGCTCGCAGCCCAACTCGCTCTCCGGAGAGGAGCCTTCACCTCCCGGGGTCTAGCTGACCTGAAGGGGAAGCTTCAGAGCTGCACGGAGGTGCCCTCAAGCCGCGGGCAACACGTGCTGCTCGCAAAGACTCTGCTGCACAGAGGGAACCCACCAGAGCTGCAGAGCTAAGCTAAGCTCTGCAAGATTGAGCTGATAGCAACCTCTGCAGCCTTATCAGCCTGCATCACAAAGGGATGCTCCTGCCACCCCTGCCTCTTCCTCCTGCGAAAGGCACGGGGGTTAAGGGGCCCTTAGCAAGCCGGGAGGCGAGCGAGCGCGTAACTCATCAGGGAACATAATGCCCCGGTCCGTAATTAGCAAGACATCGATCTGAGCCTGCAATACGCTGGGCACACRCACAGAACGCGCCTTAGCCTCCCGAGAGCAAACCACGCGGCCTCCGCTAACCTATAGACAGCATATATTAAAAAGAAAAAAATATATAAATTACTCGAGGAGGTCAGAAAGCAAAAATTTCTGCCCCCGGTTGCTAACCGAAGCAAGCAGAGGGATCCAGGGTTTATATTAAATAATCATTTGTGCTGCACCTCTCCAGGGCTCCTAATTAGTAAGAGATCAGCTGTCCCAACACCTGTAACACGTACGTGCTGCCCCGTGCGAAGCACCCTGCACACGCGCAGGTGCAGGTATGAACAAGCACTTCCAGGTATATTTTATTACCTGCATATGGATTTCCAACAAGGCTAGATAGCTTTCTAAGACAGGACTGATACAAGAATTCAATGTTTTTCTATAGAATTGTTTCTATATTTTTCTTTTTCTTCTATGTTTTTTCTATATAATTGTTTCTATATTATAGAAGCAATTCTATATTATAGAAACAATTATTCTATAATTCTAAACATTATTCTATAATTGTTTCTAYAATAATAATATTTTCTATTTTTTCTATATTTTTCTATATAATTGTTTCTATACTATTCTATAATATATAACAATAATATAACAATTATTCTATAATTGTTTCTATAACAATAATAATAATATTTTCTATATAATTTTATAATCAAAAACCCGCCAGCTTTTGCTACCTAAGGCCAGAGCAACAGAACTTTCCTGCTTTGCTTTCCTATTTGCAAGGCACGGGAGGCAAAGCCGCAGTCGCCAGCGCCCGGAGCCCAACGCAGTCGGCAGGCCCAAGATTAGAAGCACAAATCATTTAGGACGAACAAAATGTTTTGTTTTCAGTAATGAAAAGGAATGCATTCCCAGCAATTATCATTTCTTGATAAAATCATAATCTGAAAACACTTCGAAAAAAAAAGTAGAAATGTAACCAAAATTCATAAATAGTTTGGGAGGTATTTTCTATCAATAAATAAATAATAAATCAATAAATATCAATATCGATATCAATAAATAAATAGTATATGTTGTAGCATATGCTAGATTTTTGTTGCATAAAGGTAATCAAGGTTTGCCTTGATGGAATCAAGACGAACCAAACTATAATCTGAGGAAAACGATTGGATTTCAAACCCCCTTGACAATAACGAGGAGCCTCCTCCGAGGACCAGAACAGGTCCCGGAGGAGCAGAAAGCCTAAAAAATTCCTCCCACCTCCTCCTCCTTCCACATGCACCTGCAAAGAGCCGAGCAGGCAGCCGAGCCCGAGCGCTGCCAATAATTCCAACCCAAAGCAGAAAAAACACCGAAGCCTCCGGACGGAGAGGCCGGAGTGAAATAAATTGAAGGGAGGAGGAAGAAAAGACGCCAAGGACTCACTCCAGCTCATTGGACATGTTTCCCGCGGCGGGCAGGTGCGCGGTGCGGCCGCTCGCCGCGCCAGTCCCCGCCGGGCGCCGGCATCGCGGCGGATTTATGGCGCGCGCGGGTGTCGCCGGCGGGCCCCGCGCCGCCCATTGGCTGCGGGCACAGGTGCCGCGGGACAGGTACCCGGAGCAGGTGCAGCCGTAACCCTGCGCGCGCCGGCACCGCGCCGGGGAGGCGGGGAGAGGCCCCCGGGGACGGAGCTGGGGCGGAGGGAGGCGTGGATTCGCTCGTCCCGCTGTGGGATGAGGGGTTTCAGCTCGGTGCGTGCGTCGCGCCGCGATGCCAAGGAGCTGTCGCTTTTAAGAAGCAGGGGGTTGGTTTGTCTTGCTTTGTAAATAAATACGCAGGCATTAAGGCATACATACACAGGGAGGCATAAATTAGGGCAAAAATAAAAGCGCCTCTTATGTTTCTTCTTTTTTTCCCCCTTTTCTCACCTCCTCTTTGCTGCTCATGCCAGCAAGTTTGTGGATTATTATTTTTTTTTYCCCTCTAATAAAATAAGAGTGGGGGCTGCCACGACCCGCCGCAAACACAGGGGATCTTTCCATTACCTCGGACGGGAGAGGAAAGCGGGTCCGTGGGCCGGGCACGGCCGTCCTGCTGCCCTCGCGCGGGCAGGCGGGCAGCGGGTCCCCCAGTGCCCCCCGTGCCGCGCGGCTGCCCCGCTGCCACCCAGGCCCGAGCTCTGTGGCAACTCACCTGCAAACAGCGACCGGATTTGTGCAACAGAGCAAAACTCCTCAGGGATTCAAGCCCTCCTGTTGGATGGTTTCTGTCATTCGTGTTGCAATGAGAAGGCAAAGGATGGGCTCAGTGGGTGACTCATGTTGMCTGGATTTGGAAGGCAGGAGAGGGTTTTACAAGGCAAGTTAGTGCAAGCCTTAAAACAAAGGGAGAAAAAGAGAGGTTTCCACCGCTCTTTCTCTCCCCGCCGCGGTCTCGCTCACCGGAGCTGTCCCGTCAGCTCCCTCAGCAGCAGGTGAACCCGGGAGCAAACTCTCAGGTCTCCCTTTTCCCAGCAGCGAGCGCAGCTGTCCCGGCGAGGTGGCCGGGGACCTCCCCAGCCGCTCGGGCGGGCGCGAGGCAAGGCTCCGCAGGCGGGCGTGCGGACGAGGCGCGTCCGATGGGGACAAGAGCCGTGGCACGGCTGGGTGCGCAGCCATGCCAAGCCCAGCGCCAAGGCCGAGCCTGGCAGAGCCAGCCCTGCGTTCTGGGGGGGCTGTCCCCCACGCAAGTGAGGGCCTGGAGCAAGGCAAGCCCCTCTGGAGCAAGGCAAGCCCCTCTGGAGCAAGGCAAGCCCCTCTGGAGCAAGGCAGGCCCTCCGGAGCAAGGCGAGCCCTCCGGAGCAAGGCGAGCCTCGCTGGGAGCCCTAGAGAGCAGCCGCTGCTGCCGCCTCGCTCGCACCTTGTGTCTCCAAGCCAAGGAACCTTGCCCAGGGCTGGGGTGCTCCGGATCCGTCCTCCGCACCCCCACAGTGAAGGGCAGCCCGGGTGCCTCAATGCATCACCAACCCSCTGGGCTCGCAGCCCTTTCCCGTGGCTCGGACGGGGGGCGCAGCCGGTGCCCCCCTGGGCTGCCCGGGCTCTTGGTCCCGCTCGCTGCCAGCAGCTCCAGGACCTCTCTCCAGGAATTCTGTCTCAGAATCCTCTGGGAAGGAGGGAGAGCTGGCAGCAAGGACAGAAACTTGGATTTGGAGGGAGCAGCCTCACTCCAGGACAGCTGTCATCATCTCTTTCAGGTGGTCATCACCTCTCTTTTAACACCTCTAAGTGGTTTTAGCCAAACTGTCACAGATGCAGCACCCAATTCCCTGTTTTCCCATGTGGATCTTGCTGCAACGCAGGCCAGTGAGCCCCTGCCAGCCAGCAGCAGGCCTGCCCGTCCGCTCACAGCCCCACTTCTTGTGCAATGAGCCCTGTGCTCAGCAGCTGGGACGCTCCCCCRGCCTCCAGGAGCAAAACCGCTCCTAGCCGAAACGCAGCCCCTGTGCGGAGCCCGGACTCCTACCCGGGCACGGAGCAGCTCCGGCTGCTCTGAGATGGGAGACGGGAATAGGAGGGCCTCTCACCGCATGACCCCGCTCCCCATGGGAGCGGCAGCGGCACCCATGCGGACGGGACCACCCTTGCCCTGCCTTCTCCCGGGCACCCCGTCTTTCTTGGGATAATGCTGGTTTTACRGCGCCCAAGAGGCCTCCGGGCCTGGACGCCTAGACAATCCCTTTGATTGCGATTTCAGTATTTTTAATTATTATTTTCTCACCTTTTTATTTTTCCCTCGTTCATACTCCACCCTCCAAGAGTATCTGGTGAGGGGGTGGGTTAGAAGAAGGAGCCCAAGAGATACATTCCCCATGCACAGAACCCTCCTACTTCCCTTCCACTCCCCTGTTAAACATACCCTGGAACAAAAGCCCTTTATGATGCTCTAAAAATAAAGCGTGCAGCAGGCAAGATAAACTGCGACGTTTAAAAGAGAGGGCCAAATTCTGCGCACAATTACACCCTCTCTCAGGCAACAGCGCTGCGCTTGTGTTTGGTTTGCTAAATCCTCCTTAAACAGCCGGGGCAGCTCGGGATTAGCTGCATTTCGTTAGGGAGAGATGAGCAGCCCCAGGACTGAGGAGAGCATCACGGCCRGGTCCGCGGGCTGGCTCTGTACCTGGAGGGTGCAGGGTGCCTCTGGGACGGTGCCATCCACGTTTTCCTCACCCTGCACAAGGCATTTTGCACTCGCTGTTCCCAGCCTGGCTCCTTTCCTGTATAACCCGTACGTAGCTTCAAAGCAGGAGCTCTTAGCCCTTTCGGATACGCAGCTTTTCTCGCTGACAGCTGTCACACATCCTTTCCAGGAGCCCCGTTGTGCCAGGAACTGCTGCTGCGCTTGACCAAAGGTTATTAAAACACTCCAACAATTAACGCCGAGCAAGAGGAAGTGCCTGAAGCAGGTTCAGGTGAGCTGCTCTCCAAAGGGAGACACGGATGCTTCAGGTGCTTTTCCAGCACAGAGATGGGGTTTGTCATMTATGTTCTATAGGAGATCCCTTACTGAGCCTTTCCCAGCTTCCCTGTGTTCCAGGGAGCAGCAGCTCGATCTCTTGGGATGTGGGAAGCAGGCAGCTCTGCTGGATCTTTGCACCACTAACCAATATGACCCAATACCTAAATGTCCTTTTAATAGAGTTAGGGCAGTTTGTTATTATCTGCTGTAGCCCACGGGGTTGTAGGAAAACTCTTGCTGTCTTTAGCTAGTTCTACCAGTTTTTACCCAGTAAAAGGTTTGAGTTGCAAACAACCGACCCAGCTAACAGTCTTTGGGGTGGCCACCTTCAAGGTACATCAACAAACATAACCCCCCACCCCAGGCAGCCTCTCTGGGGAAGAAGCTTCACTTCTTCTCACTTTCAAAGGGACCTGAATCCTTGGAAGAGAGAGCACTGAGGAATGACATCCTGCCAGGTCAGGACGGCTGAGGCCGAGGTCCCCGTTCTCTGCACCGAGAACATTCTCTCCACTGCGCTTTCTGACCTGAGACCACCTTCCCTTGGGACCTGCTCTTCCTTGGGACCTGCCCTCCCTTGGGAGCTGGTGTTCAGGGCAAGGAGCTGAACCTTCATCCCAGTGATGAGCACGCTGGCAGCAGGAATGCAAGGCCGGGCCCAAGGCTCAGCTCATAGGCTCTTGCAGCTTATTTTTAAATATTAATATTTAAATATTTACATATTAAAACATATTTTTAAATGGTACAGATGTAAAATATCAGGTTTTGCTSATATTGGACGCCGCGTCCCTCCAGCGCGTTGTCTGATGTCGGTCAGCAACACYGCAGCAGGGCTGAGCCCAGCCTCACAGACCTCAGTTGACTCCGTTGATCACTTCTCAGCTCCTCACGAGCAGAGATATGGAAATATCACCAGCAGAGCTGGCCCAAATTGCTCAGAATGAATTCGCTCGATCAGCCAGTGGGTTAGATCTCAGCAGCAGAGACAGGGCTTAGATTCAGACTCTTATGGGAGCAGGAAGGGCGCTTGGATCCTGGGGTCTGTTGGGTTTCTGCAGCTGCAGGGATGCCTCTGATTTCAACGCAAACACAACAAGAAGTGGGATTCCAGTCAGTAAGTTCCTACCTGACAAATAATAAAATAAATAAATAAATAAAAGAGTATCAGCCAAATCTGGCAGTCTATCATGAGTCTGCTCACAAGGCCCCGAGAAACATCTTTACTTGACAATTTAGTTTCTGTAGCTGATGGGAAAACCTCATGCCAGAGATATGAACAYGTGCAACATCTGTAGCCCCTAACATCTCCGAGTTGCCAGCTCCCATGGTTTCAGCACGGATCTGCTGATACTTGCGGTTATTATTAGCTTATTTATTTGTCTTTTAACAGCCTGATTTCCTGTAATCATGTGATCGTGTGAAAGCTTTTGCCAAATATAAATCTCTACTTATGATTGTCATAAAAATGCCTCAAAATATAATCCCTATTGGCTCAGGAACACAGAGACAGACACAAAACCAACTCCCTCCTCATTGCCAAAGGAAAGCAATTTTCAAGTCAATCCTGTGTCTGTCAGAGACCTGGTTTATGTCTTTTAAGCCAGCCCTGTGCTTGCCATGACCACAGCTTCTGACCTTTTAGTGCTGAGGCTTGTCAGCAATTAAAGCACCGGGCAAATTTTATTTTATGTGTCGCTTCTAGCTTATACCTGCTACTGTTCATCTTAATCAATCGGTGGACACTGCTGCAGGGGATGCTTTGTATCCTCCAGAAGCTGAGTTCCAGTCATCCTGCCTTTCTTGGTGCTTTGGAAGCCTCTGACTTTCTCACCCTACGTTGAGAGGACAGCTGTTGTGCCTGATTGTTCAGAGAGAGGAGGAAGAAGTTGGCTCTGCAGTCTTGATTTGACTCTAAAATTGTCCCTGGGTTTGGCAGCACGGCACTCCGATGCCAGGCCTGGTTTGGAGCCACTCCTGGAGCCTTCCAATGGAAAGGGATCCATAGAGGGATGGGAGAGCAGCATGCAGCAGCTGAAGAGCCTCACGTGGGAGAAGCACCCAGTGCTTTGAGTCCAGTTCTCAGCTATTTACAGGCAGGGATTTTCCTTTGAAAATCCCTCGGGAGCAGGGATGCTGCAGGCCCTGCTCCCTCCCCAGGGGCTGCAGCTTTGTCATGCTAACAGCAGCCATCAAGGGGGAGGCAGAGCCCCTTCCAGAGCAGGGAGGCAGCGGCTGGAAGCTGTGGCCAAAGCCAAGCAGGGCTGGCAGTGCTCCATACAAACAACAGCTCAGGGCCGCAGCTCACGGTCCTGGGGGGGTTCACCCACCAAAACCCGCTCGCTGCAGCCCATGGGCGGCTGCTACGGCCAGCAAAGGGACCAAGGGCCAAAGACACCCGGGCTCCTACCTGCTGTCCTGCTCAGATCTACCACATGCCAGAAGGAACCTTGAAATTCCACCTGCATCCTCTCTTGCAGACATCCTCCCGAGGCTCTGGAGTCTGGAAGACRGAGAAAGAAAATCAGAAACCCATCTACTCCATGCTCTAGCAGTGAGGAAGCCCTCTCTGCTTCCTCGCTGACACTTGTCTATCATATTTGATACCAAGTAAATACCCACTGAATTCTGACTTACTTTTGCTTGCTGGGCCACAATCCAACATCTTGCTAAGGTGTGAAAAAAAAAAAAGCCATCTTAAATGAAACCTAATTCTAAATCCTGTAAGTGCACTACCTGCTCAGATAACAAATCCAACCAAACCTCAGGAGAACTTAGGTCCGTTTTTGACTGGGTAGTGCCTAGGTCGAACGTATAAACCCACGGCCTTGCAGCACAGGACCTCCAAGAGCTAAATCTGCTTTCAGGCTACGACTCTAAGGGTGGCTCTCCCTTCTCTGGGCAGTCACTGGTGGGGGATTAGTAGGAAGTTCATCACAAAGTGCTGCTTGCCCCCYGGAGTGGAAAATATCAGGCAGTTTTGCAACAGGCAGAGTTGGGAAGGGCTTACTGACCCTTAAGGGCTTGGGGATTTTCCTGCCCCCAAACGCCTGCTGCAAGAAGTACATTCCTATTACAACACAAACTACTACTTCAGACAAAGGGAAAAAAAAGGAAAAAAAAAACCCAACAACTTGATTTACTTCAAGATCTGAAAACCAGCCAATCTTTTCAGCTGACATATGTTCCTGCAGTCCATATGTTCCATACRCAGTCCATATGTTCCATATGTTCCTGCAGTCTCTATATGGCACCCAAACATTGCCGGGGAGGGCTCAGTAGGCTGCTTGAGATGGCAAATGCCACCCACTGCCAGCCCCCATGGTGGATTCGGGCAGCGCTGGCACCCGGCTCTGATATCCGGGAAGGCTCTGCTGCCGTCCGGCTCTGAAATGGAAAGCGGGAGACCAAAGGGCTCTTCCCTCCCCATCCCAGGTCGCCTCCCTCAGCCTTTGTGCCCATTCCAACGGGAGGCCCATCGGGGCAGTCCCGCGCTCCGTGCCTAGATCCCTGCCATGCCCGCCTCTCGGGGGATTTGCAGCCGGACAGCAAGGAGCTGTGTGYGAGTCTTGCAAGGATTTGCCTACCTCGGGTGTCTGCTCGCCCCCACAAACCACCAGTGGAGATGGGGCTTATAGCAAGGCCTTTTTACGCCGGTTTGAAGCAAGATCAAACGCGTCGCGCTGCGCCCGCCTGAGCCCCATCTCTGCTGCAGCCAGAGCCAGCACTTGTGGCCAAAATCCAAATATAGATGAGCATTAAGGAAACGAGAAAAAAAAGGAAGTTGCAAATGCATCTGGACCCAAAGAATTTAACCTTGGCAGCGAGACTTTTACCTGCAGCTTTAGGATTAATTAGTGCCAATGAAATCAGTGCCAGCTGCTCTGAGTTTCAATACAGAATGAAATCATTTTCAGGTGAACTAGATGGATCTGATTTGGATCAGTCCTGGGAGGAGCTATTTTCACAGCCCAGTGGAGAGGAAAAGCTGAGGATTTGGTTCAGGCCGAAGGATGCCAGACAGTGACAGAAAGCCTAGTTATTGGGGTGTAACGGCGTCTTTCCCATTGCTGAATAAATGCGAGGCAAGTGAGAGCTGACGCTCCTGCCTGGCCTGTCCCCAACTCAATTTGGGTTCTTCCACTCGCAGGAGCTTCTGGCTGCAGGACCCGGCTTGGCCCTTGCYGTGGCTTCCTTGCTCCTTGGCTTGCAACTCCAGGGGCCCAGCCCTGTTCTCCTGCACCTCAAAGAGACCCTGGAAGAAGGGTCAGCGAGTGGGGACGGGCAAAGGCAACGCAGCCTGAAACACCCCCCTCGCACCGAGGGAGCCTCCTTGCCCTGTGTGGGGAGACATTTGGAGGCAAGGGCCACATGGGACAGTGCAGGGCCACTGTGAACCTTTGCAGGGGACATTTCTCCATTTGGGTTTTGGGTTGTGGATTTTCGTCCCCAYAAGGAAAAGCTGCCCCGTGCAGAGCCCTGCGGAGCAAAGGGGCAGCGGGCACGGGGCGGCCTTCCCCGGGACCCGCGCGTGGCATTTGGCTGACATCTCTGCAGAGCCTGTCCCTGCAATATCAGCTGCTTCCTCTCCGCAATGTCCCGTGTCCTAAAGACCCCCGGCAGCTCCCTCGGCTGCCGTGAAGCCAAACTCACTTCTGGCCATTCACTGCCTGAGGTCAAGCTGAAAAACGAACRACCCAAATTTGCCCCGAAAGGCAGATGTACTAATTAGAGAAACCTTGGGTGGCAGTTCRGAGCACGATGCTTTTAATAACTGCAGGGATGGTGAGAAGCAAATAAATCATATGATGAAAGTCTACCAGGCTGCAAAACCCAGATATGTAATAACCAGGACTGGCACCAGGCCTGAAGCTTTGCCCCCTGGGCTTGGCATTTTGTCTGATCGTCTCTCCAGGTGAGAAGGTATCTGGAGCTTCCGGTCCTGCTGAGTGCCTGGCACGGGTATTTCTCAACAACCACCCGAGGAATCATCCTGGAATTAGAAAGACAGGAGTCCCTGGTGCTCAGCGAGGTACAGCGGGCTTTTCATCAGGGCAAGAGTGACGCGGGTTCCTTCCCTCCTGCCTTCTCAGATAAWGTGGGCATAAATCACGTGGAAATTTTGAAGTTGTTTAATACTGTTAAAAAGTCACCCATCCACCCCCCCATTGAGTTGGGCAGAGAAGAATCTCAAGAGGTTCAACAAGGACAAGTGCAGGGTCCTGCAYCAGGGGAGGAATAACCCCAGGCACTAGGACAGATTAGGGGTTGACCTGCTGCTCCATGGAGAGGGACCTGGGAGTCCTGGGGACACCAAGTTAACCATGAGCCAAGGTGCCCTTGTGGCCAAGGAGGCCCATGGGCTCCTGGCTGCATCAGGAGGACGTTGCCAGCAGGGCAGGGAGGGGATCCTGCCCCTCTGCTCAGCGCTGGGGAGGCCAAACCTGGAGCACTGGGGGCAGCTCTGGGCTCCCCAGGACAAGAGGGACATGGAGCTTCTAGAGAGGGGCTGGCGGAGAGGGACAAAATGATGAAGGGCCTGGAGCATCTCTTGTATGAGGAGAGACTGAGTGAGCTGGGCCTGTTTAGCCCAGAGAAGAGAAGGTTGAGAGGGCATCTGATTAATGTGTATAAATACCTGAAGGGTGAATGTGGGGAGGAAGGGGCCAACTCTCCTCAGTGGTGGCCAGTGACAGGRCAAGGGGCAATGGGTATAAGTTGAAATGCAGGAACTTCCATCTCCATATGAGGAAGAACTTCTTTATTGTGAGGGTGACAGAGCTCTGGCACAGGCTGCCCAGGGAGGCTGGGGAGGCTCCTTCTCTGGAGGTCTTTAAAACCTGCCCRGCTACCACCCTGTGCTCTGGGTGTCCCTGCTGGAGCAGGAGGTTGGACTTGATCCCTAGAGGTCCCTTCCAACCTCAACCCTTCTGTCATTGATGTGCAGACAAATGGGTCCTGGCAGCTCCAGGAGACTGGACTGCTCTCCTGCTCCTGTCCTCCTTCCAGAACAACCTGGGCCACACTCTTCCCTTTAACAGGACCTGCCTCGAACGGCACCCACAGCCCTCACCAGCACCGCGCTCCTCTCTCCTACCCTCACCCCTCGCTTGGCCAAGAGCTCTAATAAACCCTAACTCAATCCCTGATGGCAAAACGGGCCCCCCGTGAGAGCACCTTGCTCCCTGCTTGGTGTAGCCTCCCGCATGGATGACGGCTCCAGCCAGGCACGKTGGAGATGTCTGCCCGGCCGCCAGAGAAAGGATCCCGCCCATCGGAGCGTCCGCACTCGCAGGCTGCTACACGTCCCCGACCAGCCACACACGGTGATTTTCAATGGCAATTAAAGAGCAGCTCTCGTTTCTAGGGCTGGACAAAAACTGCAGACAGAGCCGCCCGGACCCAGCCACCCTCATGGCAATGAATGTGCTGGGCCGGGAGATGCTCATGGCTTCAATTTACCTTTAATTCCCTGGCTGAAACCCCGCTGGAATAATACAGGGAGTCTGTCACCACTGCAGGGGATTTGGGAGCAGCACCTGTGCTAGGAATAATCTGCCCCGCAGGAGGAAAGTTTCTCTCAGTTGGTCCTGCCACATTTWACATTTTTGACCCTGTCTGGTGGTGCTAAGAGTGGCTTCTGGGATGCTTTGCCCTGGCTCCTGCATGGTCCTATTATGATTTCTCCGAAGACCTCCCCGTAAGGGTTAAATGACCCCACATTAGTGCTAATTTCGGGCTAACTTTCCTATTCAGCATATAACAAAGCAGTTGGTGTTTACCCAAGACCCATAAAGTGACAGGGACCACACACAACCTCAGGGCSCTCGGCTGCGAGCAGGCACCGCTCCCCCCAGCTGCCGCTTTTCCTTTCAGAAAAGGCAGAGAGGAAGAAGAAGAGAAAAGGGGAGGCCAGAGGAAAAAACACAGAGGAAAAAAGAAGAGAGGGGGAGGCCAAAGGCAAAAACACAGAGGAAAAAGGAAGAGAAGGGGAGGCCAAAGTTACAAAATGGAGAGGAAAAAAGAAAAAGAGAAGGGGAGGCCAAAGGAAAAACGTTGGCCAGGCCTGTGCCGGGATTGCTGAGCTTGCCCTGCCATCCTCAGCGGCCGGTCCTTCCATGCCCTGCGTGGCCTCGTTGCACCCGCTGAGTCACAGACCCACAACACACTCGGCTGCCTCATTCCTGGGCTGTTTCCCTTCTCCGCAGGCTCCTTGTGAAGTGAATTCAGCTCGTGTTAATTTGATGCCAACAAATCGCCCTGCTCAGCTAATAAAGCAGACGGYTCGGGGACCCTGTGCCTGGGAAAGAAGCAGTCTGCGGAGTGAAAGAGTCACACGGGTGACTATGGCCACCAAGGGAGCCACCAGCCCTCGACCCCATCCCATCGATCTCACCATGGTCAATGACCACGTGGAGCAGGGAGGGCTACAGATTAAAACAAACCCCAAGGGATGGAAGCACCGAGCTAGGCAGGAGGGTGCAGGGAGGGCTGGGATCATTCCTGGAGCTCGGCCATAGGTTTTGTGGCCACTCAAGGCTGCTCTTTGCTCTGCTGAAGGGCATCGACAGCAGCAACATCTGCCCCGGCTTGATGTGGGGCGACCACAAGCTGACCTGGAGCCCAGGGCGGGGGGCTTGTATGTAGTTAAACACTCGCCCCCTTCCCTTGGCAATTAAATAAGGTCAGGGAAAAAAAAAAAAGGAGAGGGAACACAAACATGTTATTGGTGGAGTGAGTAAACATTTCAGCTCTTTTGCAATCATTAATGATGGTACAAGGGGCGTGTGAGCTTCCTGCGCATTGTGCTGCAGTTCATTCTCCATTCACCAGCGCAATTAGGGTGTCTTTTAGGCAAGCGCTGAAATTCACCTCCATTGATTTAACAAGTGTAATTTCCTCTTTGGAATGGCTGGAAATTAATCATCACTTCCCCAAGCTCCAGCTGGAATTCACTCTGTCAGCACAACACACAGCCAGAGCGGTGGCATCGACAGCGAAACGCACGCTGACTCTGTTGACTCTGCTCAAGAATTTCCTATACCCAGAACGGGAAACATCTCAAATATGCAGCCAAGTCAACTCTCCCAGCACCATCCATATTGACTTCTTTTTTTCCTCTAGTGAAAACCATCACACATTCAATAAACCTGATTCTTCTCTTGCTCACACAAGTTTTCATTGAGGCAACTCCACTCACTTAATTGGACTAACCCTGATTTGCAGCAAGTGAAAGCRGCAGAAAAAAAAATGAATATTCTAAAAGGAAATATATATATATATATGCGCCTAACTGGTTGCATCTCCAAGAAGCTGCATTTGCACATGCAAATGGCAATTTGTGCAGGCAAATCAGCTAACCAGCCACCTAGTTCCCTGTTTTCATGGCCGTCTGCCCAATCCGGGCACACAGCCGATCGGAAACTCYGAGGGCTCCAATAAATTGCCCTGTCCTGGCCCATCTCCGACTAAAAGAAAACCTATAAAGTCTAATACAAATTAAATAAAATAAAGRGATGGACATTTTCTAGTAGCTGGGGACAGTGCTCACCTGACTAGAAGCTAAAAGACTAGAATGCTCTAGAAAGAAAACTGTTTTGTTTATTAAAACAATTAACATAGCTTAAAAGGAAGA